CAAACAGGTAAGAGACAGACACACAGACAGGTAAGAGACAGACAGACACACAGATAGGTAAGAGACAGACACACAGACAGGTAAGAGACAGACACACAGACAGGTCAGAGACAGACAGACAGACAGGTCAGAGACAGACAGACAGACAGGTAAGAGACAGACAGACACGCAAACAGGTAAGAGACAGACACACAGACAGGTAAGAGACAGACACACAGACAGGTAAGAGACAGACAGACAGACAGACAGGTCAGAGACAGACACACAGACAGGTAAGAGACAGACAGACAGACACACAGACAGACAGACAGACACACAGACAATGTGTCTGTAGCAGGTTTCATTAAGGTGTAAGAGATGTGATTATTAAAGACTGTAATTACAGCGCCCCCTTCAGGCTGAGTCAGGTCAGATGTCTTCAGCAGTGTTTGAACACAGCTTCTAATCACTGGGTAAAACTTTCTGTGTCTGTGTCGCACCATCTGATGAGAAGTTATGAAAACATTTGTGAATGAAAATAATAAACCAGCAGCAGAGTCTCCTCTCTGAGTAAATAATTAAAGATACATCCTGTTAAATGTGAGACTCACAGGAAGTCTGGGAGGACCGGCCATCTCTAAATAAGGCTGAAGAACAACAGCAAAGTCCTTTTTGAAGAAACGATCTCCGCTCAGAAGCTTCATTAATCTGCTCTGTTAACAAGAGAAATCAGAGAGCAGAACGACATCACCACGATGTTCCCTGAGGGCTGAACACAAATTAAAACTGATGGATTATTGTCAGGATTAACAGTATTATGACCTCACCTGGAACTGGAGGTTCACCTGCAGCAGCTCCGTCAGCTCAGTGGAGTTTTCTTCAGGTTTAACCAGACATGAGCAAAATCTCCTGTCAGCAGATTATCACACTGTTAGATTATTAGATTATCAGATTATCACACTGTTGGATTATAAAATTATCAGATTACCACACTGTTAGATTATTAGATTAACACATTATCACACTGTTGGATTATTAGATTAACATATTATCACACTGTTGGATTATTAGATTACCAGATTATCACACTGGTGGATTATTAGATTATCAGATTATCACACTGTTGGATTATAAAATTATCAGATTATCACACTGTTAGATGATTAGACTATCAGATTATCACACTGTTGGATTATTAGATTACCATATTATCACACTGTTGGATTATTAGATTATCAGATTATCACACTGTTGGATTATTAGATTACCAGATTATCACACTGGTGGATTATTAGATTATCAGATTATCACACTGTTGGATTATAAAATTATCAGATTATCACACTGTTAGATGATTAGACTATCAGATTATCACACTGTTGGATTATTAGATTACCATATTATCACACTGTTGGATTATTAGATTATCAGATTATCACACTGTTGGATTATTAGATTACCAGATTATCACACTGGTGGATTATTAGATTATCAGATTATCACACTGTTGGATTATAAAATTATCAGATTATCACACTGTTAGATGATTAGATTATCAGATTATCACACTGTTGGATTATTAGATTACCATATTATCACACTGTTGGATTATTAGATTATCAGATTATCACACTGTTGGATTATTAGATTATCAGATTATCACACTGTTGGATTATTAGATTATCAGATTATCACACTGTTGGATTATTAGATTATCAGATTATCACACTGTTGGATTATTAGATTATCAGATTATCACACTGTTGGATTATTAGATTATCAGATTATCACACTGTTGGATTATTAGATTATCAGATTATCACACTGTTGGATTATTAGATTATCAGATTATCACACTGTTGGATTATTAGATTATCAGATTATCACACTGTTGGATTATTAGATTATCAGATTATCACACTGTTGGATTATTAGATTATCAGATTATCACACTGTTGGATTATTAGATTATCAGATTATCACACTGTTGGATTATTAGATTATCAGATTATCACACTGTTGGATTATTAGATTATCAGATTATCACACTGTTGGATTATTAGATTATCAGATTATCACACTGTTGGATTATTAGATTATCAGATTATCACACTGTTGGATTATTAGATTATCAGATTATCACACTGTTGGATTATTAGATTATCAGATTATCACACTGTTGGATTATTAGATTATCAGATTATCACACTGTTGGATTATTAGATTATCAGATTATCACACTGTTGGATTATTAGATTATCAGATTATCACACTGTTGGATTATTAGATTATCAGATTATCACACTGTTGGATTATTAGATTATCAGATTATCACACTGTTGGATTATTAGATTATCAGATTATCACACTGTTGGATTATTAGATTATCAGATTATCACACTGTTGGATTATTAGATTATCAGATTATCACACTGTTGGATTATTAGATTATCAGATTATCACACTGTTGGATTATTAGATTATCAGATTATCACACTGTTGGATTATTAGATTATCAGATTATCACACTGTTGGATTATTAGATTATCAGATTATCACACTGTTGGATTATTAGATTATCAGATTATCACACTGTTGGATTATTAGATTATCAGATTATCACACTGTTGGATTATTAGATTATCAGATTATCACACTGTTGGATTATTAGATTATCAGATTATCACACTGTTGGATTATTAGATTATCAGATTATCACACTGTTGGATTATTAGATTATCAGATTATCACACTGTTGGATTATTAGATTATCAGATTATCACACTGTTGGATTATTAGATTATCAGATTATCACACTGTTGGATTATTAGATTATCAGATTATCACACTGTTGGATTATTAGATTATCAGATTATCACACTGTTGGATTATTAGATTATCAGATTATCACACTGTTGGATTATTAGATTATCAGATTATCACACTGTTGGATTATTAGATTATCAGATTATCACACTGTTGGATTATTAGATTATCAGATTATCACACTGTTGGATTATTAGATTATCAGATTATCACACTGTTGGATTATTAGATTATCAGATTATCACACTGTTGGATTATTAGATTATCAGATTATCACACTGTTGGATTATTAGATTATCAGATTATCACACTGTTGGATTATTAGATTATCAGATTATCACACTGTTGGATTATTAGATTATCAGATTATCACACTGTTGGATTATTAGATTATCAGATTATCACACTGTTGGATTATTAGATTATCAGATTATCACACTGTTGGATTATTAGATTATCAGATTATCACACTGTTGGATTATTAGATTATCAGATTATCACACTGTTGGATTATTAGATTATCAGATTATCACACTGTTGGATTATTAGATTATCAGATTATCACACTGTTGGATTATTAGATTATCAGATTATCACACTGTTGGATTATTAGATTATCAGATTATCACACTGTTGGATTATTAGATTATCAGATTATCACACTGTTGGATTATTAGATTATCAGATTATCACACTGTTGGATTATTAGATTATCAGATTATCACACTGTTGGATTATTAGATTATCAGATTATCACACTGTTGGATTATTAGATTATCAGATTATCACACTGTTGGATTATTAGATTATCAGATTATCACACTGTTGGATTATTAGATTATCAGATTATCACACTGTTGGATTATTAGATTATCAGATTATCACACTGTTGGATTATAAAATTATCAGATTATCACACTGTTAGATGATTAGATTATCAGATTATCACACTGTTGGATTATTAGATTATCACACTGTTGAATTATTAGATTATCAGATTATTACACTGTTTATTATTAGATTATCAGATTATCACACTGTTGGATTATTAGATTATCACACTGTTGAATTATTAGATTATCAGATTATCGCACTGTTTATTATTAGATTATAAGATTATCACACTGTTGAATTATTAGATTATCAGATTATCACACTGTTTATTATTAGATTATAAGATTATCACACTGTTGGATTTTTAGATTATCAGATTATCACACTGTTGGATTATTAGATTATCACACTGTTGAATTATTAGATTATCAGATTATCACACTGTTTATTATTAGATTATAAGATTATCACACTGTTGGATTATTAGGGTATCGGATTAACAGATTATTAGATTTTTTTTAAAAAAAGGGATAGTACAGATTTTCTGATTGGCGTGATGTAAAGACAGGTGAGGACAGGTGATGACAGGTGAGGACACGTAAAGACAGGTGAGGACAGGTAAAAACAGGTAAGGACAGGTAAAGACAGGTGAAGACAGGTGAAGACAGGTGAGGACAGGTAAGGACAGGTGAGGACAGGTAAAGACAGGTGATGAGGACAGGTGAGTACAGGTGAGGACAGGTGAG